TATTAATTATGAATTAAAAATTATTATTATTATTATTATTATTGTTTATCATTACTTATTAATAAGTAATAATAAGTCAAAAAGTAATAATCCGAAACAAACACTTGTATTTTAGGATGTAAGGATGTACGTAAGAATGTCTAATCTAGGTGCCAAACCTTCTCGACACCCTGTATACCTAGATATCCATATCCGTTTCATGGTTAACGAGAAGAAATGTCGAGACACAGTGGTCGCTCGTAGTCACGCAATTCGGTGATCATGCACACAGGTGAATTGGATCTGCGACCAATACGAGAAATCGAAGTACGGCCAGAGGGTGTCCAATCTGATCGAATACTCTTGCGCCACGCTGCTGGACATTAGCGAGCTGCCCGCGATATTCTCAGAGGCCAATCTGTCCCTGAGAGACTTCAAGAAGGCCCGATCCTTCAGGCAGATCCGTTGGCTCACGTGGCGAACCTACCTCGACTACAAGCGAAACTACTCGTCCCATCTCTTGCGATTCGTCACGTACATGGTGAGCCGTCGCGACGCTGTACACGCGTTCCCCCTTTGACCATCCTTGGTCCCCTGATCCTCTTTCGTCTGCCTAGCTCCCAACGTGTTCCGCTCTCGTCGCTTTCGTTCGCGCAGTCGCTGCACAGGATGCCCCAGCTTCTGACGGATTGAATCGCAAGCTGGAGGACCGTTTTAAGGATAGAGGCAGCTGAAGTCGGGGAATAGGATTTAAAAGCGAGACCTTGTTTGTGCTTGTTTTCGTTTCGCGGTCGCGAAGATTAGTTCCTCGGTCCTGGCCTTGTAATTAGCGTTCCGAAAGCTCTCAGCCAGGCAAGTTAGCTGGCTTTCTGCCTGTTCACGCGCTGGGGGCTTCGTCAATTCTTCCTTTCATTCTTCGCGGCTTTTCACTCGATTTTCTTTCATATTTGCCTGGCTCCGATGCAAGTCTACGAAATTTCCAGGATTACGCGATGAATCGATAACTCGGCCGGGGTTAGACTGGATTTTTGGGTTGGTGGACATTCGAATGGAGACTTTGCGTGTCGCAGAGGTTTGGGATCCTCAGTTGAGACTCTTGGGGAGTGGTAGTTTGAGATTCAGCTTAGGATTCACTGTTTGGGGGTGAGCTGGATTTTGGTTCTTGCTTTGATCTGTATTCTCATCTCTATGGGGGCTGTTATCATAGTAATATAGTTAAATAATTAGACTTGTCTGAAGGACTAAGGGATCTATAAATTTTGAGTGATAGGCTTTGGATCCTGAGTTGAAGTTCAGCTTGGAGTCGAGACTTTTAGTAAAAGATAATTTGAGGTACAGTTTTTGATTAATTCTTTGGGGTGTGAGCTTGGTTTTGGTTCTTGCTTTGATCTCGTTATTAGATATTGGGGCAGTTATCATAGTAATAATAATTAAATGATTATACTTGTCTGAAGAATTAAAAATCGATAAATTTTGAATGGAAAATTGTCGATATTTCAGTGGCTGTAACTTCGTCAAATGAAATCGCAGAATAGTTTATTTTAGCTCGTTTTAAAGGGCAAAGCTTCTACTTTTTACATACTCCAGATGAATTTTTGAAATAAATTTTTATTTTAAGGCTTGAAGTAGAAAGTTATAGGTAACTACTTTTTTTAAGTTTCCGAGACTCGAGCGAGTCTACGGATCTTAAAAAATTTTTATCGCGATTCTTTTCATAGTGGATTTATAGAGGGAAGCTTCGTCTTTCCAACGAGTGCTTAAAAATTGATGTACCATTTTTTCTCACCATCTTATCGCGCTTCCTGTAAAGTGCGTATCGCTGGTATTAGAACGACGCATAATACACCATCGCGAGATTGTACAATTAAATCCCGAGAAATACATTTCAGAGGTGTAAAAGTAGAAGCATGGCTCTTTAAAACGAGCTGAAGTTTACTATTGTACGATTTTTTTTAACGGAGTTACAGGCACTCAAATATCGACAATTTTTCAGTCAAGATCTAGTAACTTTTTAATGTTGTGTCACTATATAAATTACCAGTAAAGAAACAAGTAACTAAATCAAGACTTACAAAGCTGTAAATACGTTGATATATAATTTTTAACGTTACATAACAGTGTAGGGGATTAATCTGTCCAGTTTGGTAAAAAGTTGAATTAGTATACTTAAGCCTCCATTTTCTATAATTTTAAATCTTCCGCCACTTACTAAGTTTGAAATTTTATTCGATCCAAGTTAGAAATTTTCTAACATTAAATCTTCCTACAGTTGTTATACATTACTCTCCTGAATGTATAATTTAGCGTCTCTGAATTTTTCCTGATATATTATAGATTATTCTACTCAATGTACTAACCCTAGATTTTCCCTAGTGCTTTATCATCCAACTTTCTTGAATTCCAAGTAAACTGTGTTACATAACCTACATTACATAACCCGGTAAGCTCGAAATCCAGATAAAATCGAGCATCAAAATGGCGTAAAATTCGGTATTTTTAAAAATTTCAATTTTTTTCAATCGAGGAGGATTTTTCCAAATTTTTTTTAATATTTCCTATTCTTTGAAGTTCGTAGGGCTGCTGATAGCATCACCATATGTGAACATCACTGGCCAACCGATGAACCAGGACACTATACAGAACATGCAGGGTCTTTTGTACCTGGTGGTCGTCGAGACAGCTTTCACGTTCAATTATGGTGTTTTCTACACGTTCCCACGAGAACTGCCACTCTTTCTACGGGACATTGCCAGTGGACTCTATGGCCCGTTGCCATATTACATCAGTAAGGTTATCGTCATGGTGAGATCCATTAAATAAATTATTAATTAGCAATAAATAACTCGAATCTTCCACCATTAATGTTACTATCTTGTTTGCATAAATTCGCGTTGATTATTTGGCAATTATAATTATTGTAATATTTTTCGATAAATTATTTAGTAGAGAATGTTAAAATATAATTATTCTAAATAAAGAATATTATTATATAATTATTATAATATTCTTTAATAAATTATTTATATTTAGTAAAGAATATTATTGTATAATTATTGTAATACTCTTTGATAAATTATTTAGTAACGAATATTGTTCTATAATTATTACAATACTCTTTGATAAATTATTTAGTAAAGAATATTGTTATATAATTATTACAATACTCTTTAATAAATTATTTACTAAATAAAAAATTATTTTTGGTAAATCACGAAATAAAAAATTTAAATATTCGAGACACTAGTTTCCCCCATAATACATAATATAAAATTTTTATATAAGATATCGAGGATAATATTTACATTAATTATCAAATTCTACAATTTATTATTTCTCTAACTATAATCAATTTTTAATCCTAGTCTCATTTATTATTATTGCATAAATACATTTGTTATTTATCGGTATCATACTTGCATAAAAAAATTACATACCACGTTAATTTGAGATCTAGCTTAGAGTTTAGAATTGGATGTGGATCATTAGGAATAACTCAGGTAGAAATGGATATATTAAACGAGTGATATTCGTAGAATAATCGACGCAAAATTGCTGCAGGTTTTCCCGTTTCAAAAAGTCACGCTATAACTCTGGTCCAGTTGATTTAATTGTGTACTGCCTTTTATGCTTTCGAGATATTACATTCCTCGTTGAATGGCGGCGAAATCCAATTTCCGATTTCAATGTACGGATATAGTGGATTTCGTGGAAATTTTCAGATACCCGGGGCGATAATACAGCCATTGCTGTACTCGGCTTTCATATTCGCAATCACGGGTCTGAAGGGTGGACTTTTAGGATTCGTTTACTTCACACTGCCAGTAGTTGCCTGCGCCATTTCTGCGTCCGCTCTTGGTGAGGATCGTAGTAGAGAAGATTAGCGAAAATAAGAAAAATTGGATGAAAAGGAAAAAGCCATAATTTTGCTGGTCCAATAGAGAAGAAAATTAATATTCTTCGAATTCTTCTAATAAAATTTAATTCGTCTTGTCAATCTTGATATATCGTTATTATAATTATCAATTGTATTACTGTCACGGTTAGTATCACAATTATATTGTTATTCGAGTAGTATTCTATTTGATCAATTGTTTAAAAAATTGAGAAAGAAGGAAAAATTATGAAAACAGAAGAAAAAGCAAATAAATTTCATATCTTTTATATTATCAAATATATTATTTAAATTTTCATTCCATAAAGCTAACTAGTACCTAAAAAATAATAATAACAATAAAAAATTGCAGATATGGGGCAAATAATTTTCATTGTAGCAAATAGCAAAAATAGTGGAAATAATTTTTATTATAGCAAATAGCAAAAATAGTGGAAATAATTTTCATTATAGAAAATAGCAAAAATAGTGGGAATAATTTTTATTAAAACAAAAGACAGTAAAAAAAATGGAAAATGAAGGGAAATAAAGATACTAATTTGTCAAGCAGGTTGTTTTCTGTCAGCATCCTTCCAGTCACTGGACACAGCTTCTTTATTCTCGGTGCCATTAGACTTCCTTGGTCTGATGTTCTGCGGAATTTATCTACACCTCGGGTGAGTAGAACTTTAGAAACTTAACATAAAAATTCGACAAGCTGCGTATCATTTTCTCACACCTGGATTCTCTTTCACTTTACCTTCAGATGAAATCGATAATGAAACTCGATAACAGTGCGTGATAAGTCTTGTTTTTCGCGGAGCGATTAATCGAGGATTTATAAGGCAAGTGTGAAATTGAAATAAACTTTGATTATTTTCGCAGGCACCTGGCGCCAGGTATAGCGTGGCTGAAATATCTGTCGCAATTCTATTATGGCCTCGAAGCGGTTTCCTTGACGCAATGGCTTCTAATCGATCGCATAAGTACGTAATTTGTTCATTGAACTCAGTTCAGTCAACTATTCCTACTACTTTCCTCTCTTTACCTTTATATATATATATTTATAAGTTATTTTAACGTGTGTATAATTTTTCTATTAATCCCAGTATGGCTATGACGAATATAAAAGATATTATCTTGAGAAATAAATAATTTTATAACGCGTCATATATACAGGGATGTGCCAGCAACGATAGTAAAACCAGAGAGGAGGTGATTCTACGTGAAAAAACAAATCGGAAATGAAGAATAAAATTTTCTCATTCGAAGCTTCGTTTTTGAGAGAATCGAATTTGAATATTCACTGAGTACGTGTGCACTTAGTTATATCTTAGGTGGATAAACCGTCAATACATCAGTATCGTGGTACAACCGAGGAGGGGGTTATTTTACGCGAAAAAACAAATCGAAAATGAAGAATAAAATTTTTTCATTCGAAGCTTCGTTTTTGAGAAAATCGACTTTAAATATGCACCAAGTACGCGTGCACTTAGCTGTGGCTTATATGGACGGACCATATATCAGCGTACTCTGTGAATATTTAACGTCGATTTTCTCGAAAACAAAGCTTGAAAAGAAAAAATTTTATTCTTTATTTTCGGTTTGTTTTTTCACATAGAATCACCTCTTCTTGGTTCTACTACCGTTACTGAGACACCCTGTATATATATTTCATTTTCCTCATAGAATGAAAAAATAATTATCTTCTGATCTCGATAAATTCTAAATTCGAGAAGGAAAAGATTTTAATTTTTGTATAAGTAATGGAAAAATAATTGGAATTAAAAAATAAACGTGCATTTTCCAAGATTTTTGTTGTCACGTACAGAAACATAGGAATGTTAATTCAAGCAGAAAATTTTTAAGTATACATTATAACCTAATTCGAGGATTTTAAGGTTTTGTAAGAAATGGAATTATGAAAAGGGAATTCGAGGTTATTTTTCTGCATTTTTGACGCATGAATCTTTCACGTTTAAGAATGCTCTCCGGACCCAGAAGAGCCGTGCATTTCCACTGGGCTAGGAGTTTTGGAGAAATATGGCTACTTGTCGAATCACTACGCCACGGACATAATAGGTCTTCTGCTGATTTTCGCGGCGAGCCATCTGGCGGGGTTTCTGGTAATCAGGTACAGGAGTCGCAAGGAGTCGGTCTACTGAATTATCTCATCCGAGCTTAACCCCTGCACTTGTAATCTTTTTCAAATTTACAACTTCTCTTCCTACGAGTTCGTCCTTAAAAAAATGCACAAACGTTTTATAATTTGTTACATGTCGAACGTTGTACAATTTCTTATTTTACTCTGGATGGTGTACTTATAACTAATCAATGGATTAAATGAGTAAACTATCAATCATCTTCGATCTCACTAAATAAATAGTTTATATATCGTCGATATTAACAATTTTGCCAAACAGGTTCGTTTACAATATCAATTAATTTAGGTATTTTGTAATAATAATTTTAAATACTTAATTTTAAATACTTCATTTTAAGGGTTAGGTACATAGATTATTTTACTTAAATTATTTTACTATTTATAAAAATATTCATGTAGAAGATATGTATCTGAGTGTTTATTATAAATTATTTTATGCGATCGAATGGTATAGTTCCTTATAATATCATTCTAATTTTTCTCCTTCTTCGTAGACCAAGGTAGCCAATGAGATTCATTACGATTGTTAAAATTATCAGGCCACTCAAATCCCAGACGATGTTTCTTTCCTCGAATCCGTATTCATAGAGCACCTCTTTTCCATTTCGTAAACAAGGCAAGTCACTAGACGTTAGACAACCTAAAAAAAATTAATTGATAAATTAACACCATGAAAATTATAATTAGGTATAGGGATTAATAATATTTCTATCTTTATAAAGATTACTATTAATTTCATCGAAAGAAAGGTTTCAATAAATGTAAAAATAGAAAATCTGGAATCAGTAATTTTGACTAGTGTGCTAGTTTTATATAGTGTTAAGTAGGTCGATTTATCTGGAAATTGTTAGTGTTCCAAATAAGTCACTAGACTTCTATTTTCCATCTGAAAATGTGATTACCAATGACTTTTGACCTTCTCGTATAATTATTGACGTTTTCAGAAAGTTAATACAGACATTTCAATTGCGTCGGAACTGAAATTTAGGTTATGTCGAGATCCGAGGAGAATGAGGTTAGAATTTAAATTAAGTCGATGTTTCTGTCCAAAAGAGATAGATCAGATTAAGTATTGATTGGATCCAGATGTCTTGCTCCAGATATATCTTTACAAGCCTGTCTCCAAAAATATTTCTCTATATCCGTCAATTCTCCAGGTAATATCTGAGAGGTCGCGAGAAGCTGACATAGTTTATTCAAGGATGCAATGTGCTCACCAATGTCGTCTACTCGTGACCAATAAATTATGGAAAGGGCCTCGTTCAGGTAAAAGAATATCGAGAAATATTTAAAACACGACAGATATGTGGGCAGCGACCTGAAAATATCACAACGACACATTTATTTTCATAACCTGTCGACTCGCGAGAAAGTTACGCCCTCTGTTAAACAGTTTGCATACTCTTTATGGTCTGCTTATTCTTGAGTGTTCGAGTCAAATATTCATAAAACCCTTGTAACGTTTTCTTGAACACGTTTACTCATGGATACTATACGACATTTAAATTTCCCCCTTTCTTTTACTTTTACCACCTTTTTCCACTTTTAATATTGAGGGCTGTATTCATGAAATTGGAGAATTTGAGAATTTAAGTTCAACGAATTTTTAAAAAATTAAAATTTTGTTCTCTTTTTATTTAAATTAATTTTGAGCCTAATATTAATAAATTCGAATGGTATTTTTTGTTTAATTTTGAGTTTAATTGATCACTGGGTAAAATTGATATCAATGAGTGGAAACTTTTGTGTTACTTTTGTTTTTTTTTTTAACTTCAAATATTATTTGAATATTGTTAATATAAGTAAGATAAATTTATTTTAATTACGTTGTACCTTAGATTGTAAAACATGCCAGCGGTTAACAGGAACAACATGTCTATGGGCACCATTATGGACGTAGCGACATCTATATCCTCGATCAAAATAGAGAACATTAAACCGTATGCCGTGCCGCAAAGTGCAGCTACCGATGTGGTTAAACAGTAAAATAAAAAGTTGGACAAATTTATTTCTGTAACCAGAATGAAATATATCACTGCTGTAAAAATCAGGGCCTTAAAAGTAGCTTTTGGCACCTGAAAAATATATAATCCCATCTTCAATGACTCAACATGGAAATAATTTAATTAATTTCTAAATAATTCTGCAACCAAATAATTCTATAATTTTATGTATATATTATATACGCACGTATTACGACTGAACGATTTCCATGCCAGATGGCGCGATTGAGTATCAGCGTGAATTTTTATCTCGTTAAAAGGTCTAACATAAAGTGATACTGTTACCAGACCGCAGAACGTGGCGGCGTAGTAGGGCCCACAGCCATAAACGCCGTTCTCGCGTAGATAAATCAAAAGTTGGCCAGGGAATTCGTAAATCACGGAGTAGGCGACCGTGAACGAAATTTCAGAGCTCATCATGTACAGTGCACCCCTCACGTTCTGCACGCCCTCCTGCGTGCTCGGATTAATTCCCGTATAAAAAGTGGCCACCGCCGCCATGGAGAGCTGCGATTAATTTAAATTACAACCCCTTTCACCCATTCTCCCCTCTCACCCACCCTCCCTCAAGTTTCCTTTTCTCGCCGCTAGAGCGCTCGTTTGCAAAATTGCGTTCGGTAATTCTTACACCGGAAACGGGCAAAAAGCCATAGCTACCAGTTTCCGACTGCTTTACACCATTTTTTCAATCCTTTCTACAATTTCCTCTTTTTTTCGTATTTATATTTTAAGTTTTTTTTTATAGATTTTAATTCCCAATTTTATTTTTTGATACTTCGCTTATTCCCTTTTTTAGGTTATGTTTTTCATTACTAGTTTTTAGAACAGAGGGTGAATTTTGGAGGTTCGTTACTCCTTCGTGTATTTGTGAAACGATAATTTAGAGGTTATGTTTGACTCACGATGTAAGAAAGCCAGGAGATCCATCCGTCAAAGATAGTTCTTCGATTCTGGACCCAAATCCTCCACGTTAACCAAGAAAATTAAAAAAAGTATCCTGCTTTCCTGTAAATTATTCCCGTTGCAAAAGAAGACTCTCCTGGATAAGATTTTTCCTCTTTTTCCTCTTTTTCCGCGAAGAAATCCTATTATTACCTCTGCGGTTCGATTTCCAACTCCCTGCTGTTCGTGATTTCGGGAATCCTCGAGAGAGAAGATCGCGAGAATGCTCGACATATCTTATCGATAAGTTCTCTAGGTCCAGTGTCCTCGCGACTGGGATTTGTCGCGGTCGTTTCGGGGTTTCCCGGAGATAAGAGTTTTATGTAGTACTCGGACTCGTCGAAGCCAACCGGGCATTCGTAACCTAGGCTATATTCGTCGGCCATTTTGAGGTTAACGACACTTGGAAATATTTGAATTAAAATTAACCATATCTTACAAATATTCATTCAATATTTTCTTCACTTTTACTTTAGAGAATAAAATTTAATTTTCCAAAGAATTTAAATTAAGTTATTAAAGATTCTTAAATTTGGAAATTTCTGTGAGAAATTCTCAGATTCCAATTGTCTTGCTGGAGAACTTTTGTTATAGACTATATAAATTAAATTTAATTGACAATTTTTAAAAGTTCCTTTCTTTGTTTGCAGGCTAGAAATATTATGGATAAATAAAAACAAGATACCCGAGGAAAAATTTTGTAGCATCTTCCACAGTTCCAATATAACCAGTTTTCCCATCAGATAAGAACAGCACGTGACTAAATAAATTGTATATGTCCATTCCTGGCTGATGAATCGTGCAAAACACTATAGACTCCAGGCTTACAGACCTCAATGCATGTACCACTTGCAGCGCAGAAAACGTGTCCAAACCTGACATTTCAGTTTTACAACGCATTTTACGGTAATGAATTAATTAAAAATTTAAAAAAAAATGAGCAATTTTAATTCTATATTAACGAACAAAATAGATTTTAACTAACAATCATACTTGATACTAAACAGTTCAAAAATTAAAGTATCAAGAAATTATAAATTTCAGATATCCGAGGATATAAAATTCTAAAACTTTGAGAATTTTTAATTTAAAAAATTTAAGAATTCACAATTTCAAAAATTTCAAATATCAAGAATTTTTAAATACAGGAATTTTTAAGTTTAAGATTTCAAAATTTTGAGAAATTAAAATTTAAAAAATTTAAAAATTTAGGATTGCAAAAATTAAAAAATTTTTGAAATGTGATAATATAATATATCATAAACAAATATCGCAATATAACCCTAGAACAAACCCTTTCCTAAACCTTCGAATCGATATTTTTTTCGGTTACCTGTAGTTGGTTCGTCAAGGAACACAATCTTTGGCCTGGTGATCAACTCACTGGCCAAAGAGAGTCGTTTCCTCTGGCCACCAGATAGCCTCGATATCAGCACATCTTTGCAATCGATCAGTCCCAGCTCCATCGATAATTTCGTTGACAATAACCTCCTCTGTGCTCTGCTCGCATTCATCTTTAACGCGTACTGCACAAGCCAATCGATTTATCATGGATTATGCTTGATGTTAATTAACAGTGATCGATGTTTAATTAAGTTGATCCTAACTGAAATGAAATACCGAGAACAATAAGTGTTCCTCTACTGTGAGCGAGGTTGGTAGAGCGTCGAATTGTGGTAGGTAGCTGGACACTTTCGACATAGTCTCTCGTGAAATAGTTTGTCCATTTATTGTCACCGATCCAGCTGTCGGTATAACTTTTCCAGCCAAAGAAGCCAGAAACGTAGTTTTCCCAGCACCACTAAGAAGAAACGTGATCGTGATACTACTTGGATTTAGGATTTTTAAATTTTAGTGACTTCTACTGCTTAATTTTTTGTTATTCTTTAATTCGTGATTTGAGGTTAGAATGTTTTCATGAAAGTTTGACATTAGATTTCTACTTGAGGTAATAGGTGAGGCAAATTTTTGTGGAAGTAGTAAACATAATATCAGAGCATACTCTATGTAAAAATACTGATCATTTTTATAATAATTTGAATTTATAAAATAACCTAAAATGTACATATGTATATTCAACTAATATCAAGTTTGATCCAAAATTTATATTGCATTAATATAATTCATACTACACATATTAATATAGATTATATTATTTATACAATACATACAATTTATACATTTCATTTTTAACAAACTAAAGAATACTCAAATGCTCTGGTAATATAATTATAACTATGGTTAAAATGATTATTATTTAAGAATTCATACAAGGTGGAATTGATTAATTTAGATACTAAGTGTCTCATATATACAGACCATTAATCATACTTAGTTATTTATTTCAGTTAATCAATATTCCCTTATGCCATGAATCCATACTAAAAGTTACTACAAATATTCGTGTACCTTGGTCCCATTATAGCAACCAGATTCCCTGTCACAGCATAACCACTCACTGCAATCCACACACTCATTAACTCTACCAAACAAGTCCATAATTCGTCTGGTTTAACTCTAATCAAAGAAACAAATTTTTTTTCAACATCACCTCCTTTCAGTATGGTCAAAGATTCTTCATATTCTCTTCTTCGAAATTTTCTCCAAATAGTTCTCAGAAAATCTCGTTCTTGTTGAACATTGACCGTCAAGTTATCCCAGACGACCATGTTGCCGTCATCCTCCATTTCCTCGAGAATCATGTTGCGTAGGTCACGAACTAGACGCGAAATCACGTAAGACGTCTGGTAGACTCAGGACCAACTAACGCTTATCGGCGTTATCTAACCTCTTTCTTGGCGAAGAAAATCCACAATAATGGTATCTTCGTCTTATTAAACATCTTAGAAAATAAACTAATTAAGAGATTAAGTACAATGCTGCAGACGACTGTATCTTTATTCTTCTTTTAAGTCTACCATTGTGGTAACTATCTGTTGAGGTTGCAGAATATTAAGCTTGATGTTTATATTTACAGATAAGTGGCAACTGAACAAAATATTGATATATAAAATATAAAATTAAATTGTAATATATGAAATATAAAACTTGTATTTGTAATGTATAAAATATTAACTTATTCTGAAAATAATATAAAATTAAATTTAGATAGAGTAGAGTAAAAATTAACTTATTGAAAAACTAGTGGATTTTAAACATAATATTGGAAAGGTAAAAGAGAGAATAGAGTTGGAGAAAGTAAAAGAAAGAGAACTAAGAAGACAAAGCTGCACATGTGTCTCTGTGGTTGCGCAAGGCACCAAAGGAAAAATCATAAAAAGACTTAATTACAGTAGGACAAAGACCAAGAGGAAGGAAACTAAAATTTCTACAAAGAGGATAGTTAGGATAAAAAATAGAGTAGAACTAGATATATAGTATTTAAGATATATAACTTGGTGTTTAATTTGGTATTTAAGATTTAGTTGGCAGAAGAGGCAATGATAGGGGATTTTAATGACTGATATTAAGACTAATAAAGATTTCTTAAATGGTAGACTTTGTTGAAGAGGAAAATGAAGCAGCAATGTAGTAAAAAACAATTACGGTTAGTGCATCTACATTATCATGAGCTACACTATCATTTTACAATTGAAATAAATTTTACATGACACTCAACAAGCTTACTTAGTAGACTGTGATAACTGATAACTTCCAAATGTTAGTTTGATTCTAAAGAAATATGATATCAATGCTACTTGAGAGCTCAACTTTCATGGGGTGTTTAGAAAATGGAAGGGTATTTCTAAAACTTCAGGTAACATATTTTAAAGTCACTGAAATACATAAAGGACTAGAAATATAATATTTTGGGATGAGGTTAAAACGTAACTAGACAAACCTTTCTGTTTTTTGTTTGAAAAATAGTAAAAATTATTTTGTTCATTAACTATTGTTAATAAATTACAATTGAGTCATTTTATTTCACTATGTATAAAAAAAAAAGGTACTCGTGAAATAATCTGGTACATTACCAACATTTTTCTAAGTTAGCTATAGCGACATCCAGGGACAGGTTTGAGAAGCGTTGCATTAAAAGCTGCTGGTATAGTGAACACGTAAAAAAGGATGCTGGGTTGCGAGTATCATTTACGTAACAATGATTACACGCGCGATGGCTATGAAGTCACGAATGAATGGATGAAAAAACGTGGCTTTTCGTTAAGGATTTTCGCTTAATAGAAAACAACCATAAACGCAGGTGACTCCTTATGCATACATTTTTCTAAATAAATTAAGGATATTTGAAATGAGCAATTTTTTCTGTTTGTTTTTTGTAAATATTATATTTTAATGCCTGTGTTTCGATAGTAGAATTAAATTGTCAATTTAATTGTTAATTTATAGTTAATTGTTAATTTATAGGAATCTATTTTTACCTCTCTACTTTTTAACAATATTCAAATTACATGTTGACAATGGTTATGAATTATTAATTTATACGTATGTGGACTTCTTCTGTATCTAGTGAAACATTTTTTGTGAAAGACACTTATTTAAGCATGTTGATTTAAGAAAAGCTTATGTAAGTTCAAACATAGATGGTGAGGCAGGATAGGTTAAAGTCAAACTGGTCAATACAGTGATGGAAAGTTTAATATTTGCATGAATACTGCAGGAAGTGAAAGTGAATGGTACTATATGGTACTAGGATAGTCTAAGGACACCTGTGTCCTGTTTTATGTAATATTCATTACCTGCTGGTAACAGAGCTGTGCAAATAATTAAATACATAAATAACAAGGTTAGAATGGCCAGAAAATAAGCATCATGAACAAAGGTGGGAGCATAGTCAATAATGAAATTAAGGAAATAGAGAAATAAAATGCTTTGCAATGGATCATTATATTGAATCTCAATCACTTTACTATAAATTATATGTATATATAACATGCTTCTTATACATATAAATACAATCTGTATATATATAATATGTATGAACAAAGTATCTCCATTTAAAAAAAAAAAAAAAAAAAAAAAAAAAAAAAAAAAAAAAAAAAAAAAAAAAAAAAAAAAAAAAAAAGAAGAAGAAGATGTAGAGGAAACACGAAAACACGTGGTACGCAGAGATACACGATTTCCGTTTCCCATGTTTAAATATATCATGGACATTAATGATTCGTATAAAAAACACTACTTAGATCGACGTGTTAGAAAATGAATCGTTTTCCAAGCAGTCGCGTTTTCAACGTAGAACCACTTCTCGAGTTCGTTTGGAGAATAATTATATAAACTAGACTTATCATAGTAAACGATCGATAGTCGGCTACCTGTTAGCTACTTTTCAGTTCAATTAGAAATAAGTCACGGCCGTGTCCATAAAACTCTACATCGCTCGCAAGTTACAAAATGAAAAAAGTACATACATGCTTTTCTTACAACTTTTAATTCATAATTTCGTTTATGAAAAATTCGTTGTTTAATTCGTAAACATTATGGAAGAATCCTACGTTGTTAATTGGCAAGCTGACATTCATAATGATGTAAGTGAAACTTTTGTGAATTTTGGTTAATCACAATTTTTTAACCTTCAAAATTTGACTCTCTGTCAAAACGCTTTATATAATTTTATAATTTCAAAAAATATATTGATCCTTTTATAATAAATGTGAGATATCATTTTGTGAAAAATAGCTGTGAACTAACCTACACCATTATGATTCATAGTCTCCCAATTGGCGACGCAAGTTACAGTTTCTTCGTTTATTTTTTTTTTCTTTTTTTCTCTTAATAAAAAATCATGATGAAACTTAATGGTTAAAGTCGATATAAAAAGTATTGGAATGTGAGAGCGGTTTATTCATTAGGTTTATGTTAGTCTTTGGCGATTGAAGGGAACAGAGAAAGATGAAGTAGAAAACAATTACGAATATAAAACTTATTTAACAATAATAAAATTCCCTAGATTTTAATGAAATTTACCTCCTGTTAATTTGACTTCCAAAAATTACATGTTTTGATATATTGAACAAAAATTTTATTGTCAATAAATTTCATGGTAGATATTTGGATGTTAATTGTAAAGATACCATTGCTGAATAAAATTATAGTTTTCTACTTCAAATATTCTTTTCCCCCTTAAATCTTTTCTGCCAGACCAAATGTATCTATAATAGTCTTTGCTATCCGTATTCTTTTATAGACACTTAAAAATTTCACGTTCTATACTGTACAGCAATAACGAAACGTAGAACTAAATTTCTGGAATGGATTTCCTGGAATGAACCATTCGCATCTGGCATCAAAGAATCGCAAAGTTCGAGCAGGTTATGTTTACAGGCTTTCAGTGATAGATAAATTGATTATTCGTCGCATTAGTCTCGTGTTAACAAAAAGGCAAGAGTTCTTAGTAAGCAGTGCTTAGTTTCGATCGACTTTTAATGATTACCGCTAAAATGTTAAAATCGCTAGTATAAACGTTGTACCGAGTTCCCCTCGCCATTCGTTGCTTTACAATCTTCTTTCATTTTTCTGTATAAGCCAGTACAGAGTTTAGAGGTACAGTGAGCTAGGAATGCTGAAATGAGTTACATTTGCCTAACTTAAAATCTTTGTATCTCTAATGAGATATTTTATATTAGGAATTAGTCGAGTAAGAATTAAAATTATTTAAACTTTTTTAGGATTATAAAATATTACAAAATAATAATAATATAACATGATAAAAATTCAAACTTCTTAGAACTAAAAAAACAATTCTAAATAAGACACAGAAAACATAATGTTCAAATAGCTTAGAAACAAATAAAGGATAGGAATAAATCCTTATTTCATATTTCTTTAATCATTTAACCTAACTTGAACGTTTTTAATAAAATCTCTTAAAAACTTAATATATAATCAGACTGATCAAATAATTATACCTAACCTATTCAAATTATCTGAATTGTTTAGGTCTCTATTACGATGGGAACAATACTTTTCCATTATACATAATCACTATCAGCAACAGAACTAGAATTAATAATTAACTAACTCATCCTCAATCCCTCGTTGTGATTGAGTAACACATTCAGTCATGAACACCATCAATATTTACCCACCTCCTGGTCTATCTAATTTCCCTATCAAATGTCTATGTATCCACACTACAAATTTCAGACCAAACTAACTAATCAATTATCAATTACAAGAACCAACATCCTAGTCATCTAAAGTACACCATTCTCCACCTCTGTTCAGCATTCCAAGCTCCACCTCCACTAGTGTAGCTAACCTATCTCTCAACAAACATGTGTGTGTATATACAAACGGCAAGTGCAAGAACGACGATCGATTTCACGTGAGTTCTCAGCCAGCGACAGTTAACAATATACGAGGAAGAGTCGAAATCCCACAGACGATACCAGTCGTGAGACGATTAATGACTCTGGTCGGTGGAATAGTCGCCATTAAGGTTCGTTTCATGAGTGGGACGTTAGTTACACGATCCAGACGAGATCCAACGACGAGGATAGTCGACGTGGAACTAGCGGATCGGGACTCTCGTGTCATGGCACCGACAGCTACACGGTGATGGCAGGACGACGATAACGGACCGGACGATCCTGCTATCGGTGGATTACCGATTCGTCAGCAGGAGCAGGATTTCTTTGAACTGGTCGGCGACTGATTCAACGCGAAACGCTCGCCATCATTCTGTTCCTGAGAGCCGTTCCCCTTCATCAACTGATCATTTTGAAGTATCTGAAAAATGAAACAAATGGAGTTTATTAATAAAGATAAACAGGGATTATTGAACCTAAATAACCATTAAATCCAGTGGAATCATTTAATATTATTCATTTAATTTTTACAATTTTTTTGAACAAGAAAATAATTTACTGCGAGAGATTGTTCTACATGCAAAACTAAGTCGAAAATGTAGAATAAAATTTCTTTATTTGTAGCCCCGTTTTCGAGAAAAATTGGTATGAAATAGCAGTCGTCAACGCTCCCACGAGAGCCATACTAAGTTGGGAGTTAGGAGGGCGCTCGCGCTCCCAATTCATTTTCAAACTTGATTTTCTTAAAAACGAAGCTTCTAGCAAAAAAATTTTATTCTTCTTTTTTAACGTATTTTTACACGTAGAATCAATTTCTACCTATTTTTATCATCCATTTCATAGTTATAATGGATTTAAACATTGACTAAATGAAATAATTATCGGGAAAATTGTTTAAATATTTTCTCAACTTCGAGTATTACAGTATATAACTATGCTAGTATTTTTTACTATATGAAGGGGAAAGCTTGAGACGAATTTGCCGACTGGTGACGCAGATGTTGCCACGGCGCCAAATGACTTTTCAGCAAACAACAATTAACTATGCATCTTAAGACGATCACCTTGGCGCGAAAATACGTCATTGATAAATCCACCGGACGCATTGTACGCACATAATACACATAAAACGCTAATCGCGGGGACAACACGATATGCCACAAATAACTTATGCGTAGCTCTTAGACTATCTTCGTTAATTGAATTTCGCAGCGGAATCAACGAAAACAACGTCAGAAAATAAATTCGGGTTTATTTATCGTATTCATCGTATTACGATAATATTTTATGACATTTTATTAATTATGTCAACAATATAATTCCCGTCGCATCTTCAACAAACAGAATTATTATTACAGAAATAAAAGAAATAATATACGATATGGATGATAAATAATGATAATGATACTAAATAATAACTAAACGTATGATCGGTGAATATTACTCACTTTATTAACAAGAAATCGTGCAGCCTCCTCAATGTTAATGTTCTCCTTGGCCGAAGTCTCGAACCATCCAGCAAAATTTTTCTCCTTGCAATATTCGTCCATTTTCGTCGGCGAATTCACTAGGCCCTCCTTCTGTTGGTCACACTTGTTCGCCAGAAGAACGCACGGGATTGGTGAGCCGTCAGGAAGTTGAACTTTCGAGTCCAAATCTTGCTTCCATTTTACCACCGCGTCCAAGGTGGCGCTTCTCGTCACGTCGAACACTATGAACGCGCCCACGGCCTCTTTGTAGTATACTCTCGTCATATTCCCAAACCTCTCTTGACCTGAAGACGAACAAAAAGAAATACGAGCTTGGTAAAATATTTAATTAATTTCAAAAAATATTTAATTTCATGCTAACTAAGTATTTAGTTTTGGTACATATCTTTATCCATTTCCTAGTTACTTTTCCCTGGATAATTTAAGGTTTCTTGTAATTAATCTGTTAGTTATTTATTTCCCTTATTTATGTAGAAGAAAATAAATTTATTCAAACGGAGGTACAAAATTAATATCACGTTAGGAATGTACGTAGTATAACAATCGGGACAAAAGACTTGAAAGGAAAGTTTCCCACGAAATTCCTTCCACTAGAGAAAAGAGAATTCCTTCCACCAGAGTCAACAGAACTGCTGTATAGACTATAGGTCTAGTGGCGCCAAATTCAAATTAAACACACTCCCTCTACAAACAATTATCCTTCAAAACACCTAGAACACTAGGTTTCCCCAGTCAAAAATCACTCAAAATAATTATTCCAAATATCCAATATCCATCGAGTTCAAAATCGAAAAAAAAAAAATCTCAAAAATATTAAAAATAAAGAAGGATAAGAACGAGGCTAGAAAGGAAATAAAGGAAAAGGGTAATGAAAACCAGAAATAGAAGGAAAAATTAGACCAACCTGCGATATCCCATAGCTGCAACCTTATAATCGTGTGCGGGTCCCAGTTCAACACTTTCAGCGCAAAGTCAACGCCAATGGTCGCGCGATAATGCTGCGAGAAGAATTGATGGACGTATCTCTTGATGATGGACGTCTTTCCGGCGCCGAGCTCGCCGATCACCAGGATTTTATACAAGTGCTCTCGTTTCTCGCCTAATCCGGCATTCGGTGCATTGTTCTGTGACGACTGTGAGAACAAAAACAGGATTTCATGCCATTAGTCGCCGGTTGTTTGAGAACTTCCCATTTACGCGAATTTTGATTAACTATAAAACTACAACGGCTATTGTTACGTAGAAAATAGATTGTGAGACGGTCGTGAAATATTTCTGGCAAACATTTCTGAGTCACTGATTCCCTCGGGTATACAAAGGATCATATACAAAATGGTATCCTTGTTGACTAATATGGATTTAGAATTAGTCATCCAAGGAGACAGGTAGAAAACCGTATAATAATAATTACAATTATTATTATTATTATTATAATTACATAATATAATAATTAAATAATAATTATATAATTACAATTATTATTATTATCCTTGATAGATTTTAATTCTCTAATAAATAGCGATAAAATAAATTTACTTCACTGTAAATAATTTTTTGACAAGTTTGGTATTTTTATTATCTTTTAGTCAAGAATTTTTAACTCTCAAAAATCACCTTTTATTGGGATCTTTATTCAAATTCTACGGATATTGTTATTATTTATTTATATACTTTTTTTTAATTTTATAGAATGGAGTTAAATTAATTGTTGTTTCTATAATGAGACTTCTATTTTTGGTTGTATACGTTTCCAGTGGAACTTGGAAAATATATAGGAATAATTTACTCAATCATCGAATCAATTAGATGATTATCGAATAATTAAGATTGTTTAGTGGCCAAAAAAAATTATTCGGGTCAAGTTATAATAAGCGACACTTATCTTAAATGCTTCCATTATTTTCCGTCTGCTACTCAGACGAATAATGCCCACTTTTATCGCTTTTCCCTCTCTTATCTTTGTTATGCAACTATATTGTTAGATATTTGACACAGTTATACCATAATCGTTACGTATACTCGATGCAAAATTAACATTTTGAGAGAGACGAAGTTGAAGCCGTGGAATTTTCTTTTATTTGATTACCGATAACCTCACTTTTGTTTGCTCGCAAGAGAGAAGATTATAATTCGCTGCAATGTTTTAATCCGAAATCCTGAAATTGATAATCGTTATAAATAAATCAATCGATGCTAGTACAGTGGTGTATCGATAAAATTATTTATAAACGAAGTGAAATTTTTAAAATAAAAAATTCTTATTTTAGACGAACAGGACTGTGGAAATTAAATATTAATTCTAATTCGAAATCGTTATCGATGAATTGATATATAATTTGCAACTTTGCAACAACGATTTTGCATTTTTACGACTCATTGTAAACTTCAACGACTTTGCTTATCTTATCGAATGACGAGAGAAAAAGAAAGCAATGATCAACGAATAACAAATGTGATGGAACTGTAACAAATGTAAAAACGATTTAACTACTGCATCTATTTTAATTTGCACGGACCAATTGCACACATTACATAATTTTTCCTTCTTTAATTTCGTTATACCAAAAAATCACATATAAAACAAAATAAACAGAGAAAAAGTATATAGGTATGTAATTTCTAGGTCACGTGGTATATTACAGAAAATAAAATTTCACAAATTTGTCGAAATTAACTTTACAGGAGATTGAATAATGTACCAAAAAACAAAATAGAACGTTGAACTAGTTCAAAGTAAAACCACAATCCAGAGTCTATAAAGAATATCATTTTAATCACTAAAAGGTTACCGACCGAACTCCCATGTTACCAGTAAAAAATCACGTGATCAACATAAACAAAACAGAAACGAAAAAATTTAAGAAGAAAAACCAACCCTGCACCATTTCCAGTTCTTAGGATTCACCTTCCACTCGGAAAAATTCAAAAGTCGCTGGTTCTTTCGTAATTTTTGCTCGACGTCCATATTGCACCTATTTCGGAAAATGCGCGCACCAGACTGACGTTCACGATCGCGACGTTCGTCTGATCTATCGAAACCTGGTCGAAAGCAACGTCCGTCGTTGCGAGCAGATCGAGAAGCACCACGTGAATGATTCACCGTCGATAATCTACTGGGAATGCAAATTGTCGTCTTAACACGCTGTTGACCGATCGTGAGTATCTTCGTATTTGCAATTATCCTGATTATCGACGTACGCAATTATAATGCAACTACAATATGATAAACATTTGCCTAAGTTATTTTTGTTTACTAGCTTCACGACGTTTCTTTAATTTTTATATTATTTCTCTACACTTTTGTCACTTTAATTGTAATTTTAATATTATTAAATTTTCTAGATGGTGATTAACGCTGAACTAGTGACATCTGGATATAGCATGCATGTATGTACACGTGCAAATAGATAGGTATATGTCACAACATTTCTACTTTAACGGAAGGCAGTATTAACATTGCCAGAAGCAGCTACACATGCTCAGTAATTGAAAACACAACAGATCGGAAATCAGCTATATTAACCTGTTCGACAGTTCTTTTGGAAATTGATTATACGTATGTACATATGCATGTTATCGCTTCTTAATTATTTACATTGTCACGTGAAACATTATGCTCTACACTCACGAACAAACGAAATTCTTCACAGTGATTAAAACTCGCGTGGAAATACATAACCTAACATCGAAGCGTAACAGAGAGAATCATCGTATACTCAGACGGAAAATAAAACGACAATCAGAAATATGATCCTTGTTACGTATGGTTACACGTACGGGGGATAATCCACCATAGAAAACACCGCACGAAGCCGTAACCATAAACTCAAGGGTAATAATAATAATCTGCTGTAAAGGTAGAAGCCGTAACGCTGCCGCGCGTATAATATTCTATAATACTATAACACCGCTATGGTGCGCTGTATTTAATGGCGGTTAAGCCTTGCTTAAAAAAATTACAAGCGGCATCTATGTGATATTCACGATTCCTTTGATATCTGTTAATTTGTTGACTTCACAGTAGCATATAATTTTTCGTTGCAAATTCTTTTATTTCTAATTACTATTTTTTACAGATTTATTTAAAATTATCTGTTGGAAAAGTATCATATTATTTAGTAGATGATAATTAAAATTTATTGACTTTATTAGATTTTATTTAAAAATGTTTTCATTCTTTTATAAAAAAATATTCCATATTTACATTCCTTTATATTTTCACTTAAATTGCTCAAAATACCTATAAGAGATAGATTGCTCATATGCTTATTCAGAATTGTAAATATTATCTTAAGATTGTGTCAATATTTAAAAAGTACTGAAACAGTAAAGTGTATAAATTTCAATTCCAATGGTTTCACAATATTCAGTCACTTTTGTATGTTGTTATATCTTTAGAGAAGATATCCTACAGAAGATATACTTCAAACTTAAAAACTTTTAGGTGTTTGCCAAGCAGTGATAATGCAATTGACTTTAAAAATTTTCCAGAAATAGTCATATAACATATATATTTTGATTCACAAGTCATTAAACAGTAATTTTTTAACAAAATTTTTCTAGTTTTTAGCAAAATATTTATTAAAATTTATAATAAAATTTTAGGCAATGTAAATATTTTATATATTATTATATTATAGTATAATATAAATTTAGCATTATAAACATTTAATAAATATAACATTAATAATTTTAAATATATTAAATATCTGATGACTTATGGACGGTAGTGTAAATTACCTTGCATAGGTAACGCGTCATAAACCTCGGCATAATATACAAAATAATATACTTTGAAATAGTCCAGATATTCTTAATTCAATTTTCCTAATCCTACTACTTTAAGACCATGCACAATTTATCAGTACTAAAAATATATAGGGAGGAATAGAATGATGCAATAATTCAAAAAGTGAGTAAAAAGTTAAAAAATATATCCAGGGCATACATTTATATATATTTTCATTTTACTATTTACAATCTCAAATTTAAAATTTCTTTCACTCACTATGCCCAGTTTGAGATCCAAAATACCCATCTCTCTCAATCTCCAGATCATATTACAAAATTCCCCTCATTTACTATATCTACAATTTCCAGTTTCAAATCCAAAATCCCCATCTCTCTTTATTTCCAGTTTCCATTATAAAATTTCAAATCCAAAATCTCCAGTTTCAAGTTACAAAATTCACTATTTCCAGTTCCCAATACAAAAAACTCTATATTCTTTTAATATAAAAATCCCTTTAAAAAATTCCACGTTTCATCCCATCCTACATCTGCAATCTTGAATATCAATAATCGAAAACCCGTCTATACATCTTTTGATCCTACTCCCTGGAAGACCTAACCTCGCTTACAGAAACACCCCTCGACTACCCAATAGCCCTTCTCCCCTCTCTAGCACAGACTCTATTAGGCTTCTCGATGATTCGTAGTAGGACAAGATAGAGGGCGCCACCGTCAAGATAGAGCATGCCAAACCACGTAACCCGAGAGCCCGTCTAACAGGGGTTAGCTCGTTGAAAAATACGCGGGACAAAAGCGTTGGAAGCAGGCTCGACGTATGAGAACCGCAAACCGGGACCGCAGAACGTTACGATTTCTGCATCATAGGGTTACACGCGACGTTTCTACGGACAAATAGAGATAAATAATCGTGGACAGTGTTTTGAAACTGTGGCGAGTGTCGATATCGAGAAAGGGAAACCTGATTATGCAAAGACAACGGGAATCGAAAGAAAAACAAGCTGCTCGACGGTGTCGATTTTCTTGCCTTCACTGAACTCGAAAGAAAGATTTCTTTTAGACGGTTGCTTCGAACGCGTTAGAGTCTCATTTATGAGGAATTGGGGCAGCTTATTCGAGAATAAAGGTAGTTCTACGATTTGTGAAACAGTGATTGTAAATGGGTATATAATCTCGAGGAGTCGATTGCGATTAGTATACATTTAATCTTTAGGTTTCCAAGGCGCACGTGGTGCGTCGTGTCCCGTAGGAGCCGCAAACGGTGCGTCATTGACCTCAAAGAGGTTAGGTTAGAAATATCCGAGTAAAATTATTAAAAAGTTTGATAATTGTAATTGAATATTAAATTGAAATATTGCATCAAATACATTTTTCTTATGAATGATATATTTTCATCTGGAAAAAAACATTCATATACGAGAGTATTTTGTTACTGTTTTAATTTATTTTTTTTGTTGGGGGGGGGGGGGGGATAGGGGAATCGATTCTTGTATATTATACGACTAACGAACTTGTTGGCAGAATATATAATTTTGTGAATAAAGTGGTAAAATGTATGATGACTATTAACAAGCAGGATCGAATGGAGCAAGTAGTACAACTTGGGATTTTTTCGACAAGTAGTAGAGGTCATTATATAACGTCAGGACGTCATTAATCAAACTTCACATTGCCAGTTAAGTATATAAACACTACTATTTGCATAATTAAAATCGCATAACACCCTTTTTTGCATCAGATTTGCTTCTACAACTCCAAAAAAAAAAGAAGATCAAAAGTGCAGTAGATAATTAAAAAGTCTACCCAAAGGGGCCCAAAAGAAAAAAAATTCACAACCAAACCTTCATAAGACCCAATAAAACTGTGGTGCCAAAAAACAGAGGTAAATAAAACAGTGCAAGGACAGAATAGAAGAAGCTGAAAAGAAAGTGCTATTGGAATGAAAGAGGTGAAAAGAGGAGCTAATAATCATCAGGGAAGGCCCAACTCGACAAAACAACAACCCCGGTTGAAAATAAAAAATAATAAAGAAATCTGAATTGAAAAGAACAGAATGGAGAAAGAAGCTACGGTGAGTGCACATGTGATTCCTCACCATGCTGTCCTGGCTGACGACCTTGCTCTTGTCCGCGATGTCGGCCAGCATGGGCCCCATGGTGTCCACGTAACTATCGTGCTTCCTGTCGTAGCTCTCGGTGTAATCCTCCTCGATACCGGCCAGGTAACCAACACCAGTTTCCTCGTCGAACGTGCCCTCGAACGTCGAAAACGTGTCGAACTTCTTCACGCTGATGTGCCTGGCCTTCTTCTTGGTCCCACCGTCCCAGTTGTCCTCGTTCCCCTGCCCCTTCTCTTCGTCGTCGACGGACACTGCGATCACCGTTTCCCTGGAATCCGAGTTTCGAGTACTCTCGAACAAACGACGCTGGAATATAGCCCGTTTCTCTTCCAGCAACGACAGCTTCCGTCTGACCTCGCGCGGCGAGGATTTCGATATGCCTGACTCGGATTCGGACTTGGTGTTCAACTTGGACTTCCTATACGAATCGTTCGAGAATGATTTCGAGGCCTTCTGCTCCGGCCATTTCGAGATGGCGTACGGAAGCGTGGAGCTGCACAGCGCTTCCGGCCGAGGAGACTTCTCAGCTGACTGGATATCTGCGCACGCAGACAACGGCACCAGGTTCATTCGCCGGATTTGTGAGGTGGAGTTCAATGGCGATTTGAGGTGATGATGATGATGATGATGATGATGATGATGATGATGATGATGATGATGATGATGATGATGACGCGTTGGTGATGGTCTTTGAGTATCGCGCCGATGGCATCTTCGAAGGCAGGTTGCAGGATGTTAATACCACCAGTGGTGGGGTTAAGTGTCCTGGGGTGGTGGAGTGCATGTTGAGTATTTGAGCTGGGTATGTATGTTTTGTAGAGTAATAGGGATGAAACGTTGAGATGAAAAGTTAGGGGTGTTGCTAGGTATTGTATGATTTTAAAATCGAATTAGTTGTTAATGGAATCGAATGTGAATTAGATATTATGTTGTTCTAAGTCTGAGGTTGAGTGCTTGGGCAAGTTGCTGAGCACTGAATCAGTGGGAAGTTGAATATGGGAATGTAAGTTCTTAATTATACGGAGTACCTAATTACTTTTACAATTACAATTAGTTGAGATTGTTCACTGGGGTTAAATAGAATGTTAATAAATTAAAATTGGTTATGTGTCGCATCTACTCGTGTGGAGTAAGTCGCTAATTAAGTAATCTGGGTGTTGCTGTTTCTTGAATGGTAGGATATTAAGTTGAGTTAATTAAGGTGTTGTTGCTCAGTGAACTAAGAATAATAAGATAACGAATCCCACTAAAGTTAATCCCTACTTGGACTTGAGTAGTTAAGTTAATTATTCTTAATATTAAGAGTGATTTATTGGATGAAAGCACGGTTTGAGTGGTGACGATGTTAAATGACAATGGTAAATTAAAAAATTAAATAAATAAAAATAATTCGTGATATAATTCGACAAATAGATCAATTTAATATTACGTTAAATAATACTGCTTGTACACACACACAAACACAAGCATACTATTATGTTATAATTAATTAGTTTAAATATAAAAAGCTAAGCAGAATTATTAAATATTAATTAAAACTCATCGAGCAAATTCGATATTAAATAACACTATGACAGATTAAGTTAAGTTCTTGATTTTTGAACTCGAATCAATAAATATATTAGTGTCTTTTATTTATAATATTTTGACGAATATAATGTTATCGCAAATGGTTTTGTTTACGAACAGCAGAGGTATTCATTGCAATCTCAATTATTACATTATGGTGATAAAGTGTCTGTTTACTACATTATATTCCAAATTGCGCAAGCATTAATTAAAATACGAATACCGTATTGAAATCCATCTATATTTAATTATTATCTATCAAAATTTAATTATTGCACTCCTCCACAAAATTGGCTAAAAAGCAATGATAAATATCAGTATCACTGAACTTTGCTTCGTTCAATTGTACAGAAAAATACGATTTATCATTGCAGAGAGACAGCAATATTTATTCCGATATAAGATAATCAATTCCATTCGTATTTCATAAATAAATAATCGTTTATAATTATCCATAATTATTCACCTGTACTCCTGCATCGAGCAAGGTGTAACAGATCATTAAATCGGTCAACAACCAATTAACATATTTATAAATAATAATTTTGATTCAGATTTACATGGTAACCAAATCACCCAACAAAATTTTCTTCAAAATAACTCGACAGAACGAAAACAAAAACTGAAAAACAATAAAATTTCTTCTACAACCGAGTAAGAGATCAAATATTTACTAATCATCTGCATTTTTCAGGAATGGAGCAAAAAGAGAAGGAAAGAAACAAGAATCAGACCCAGCCCAGTCAGTATATACAAAAATCCAACCACCATAAAGAGCCACCATAAGCCAGAGTCTCAAGAACCTGCGAATCTATCAACTACACCTGCACCCTAACCAATAGTGTAAGAAGTAACCTACAGTTTAGCCAACTACTGAAGACCCACTCAGCAAGAGAATAAAACCAAGTGAGACCAAGACAGGAGATTCAGAGAGAAAAAACAGAGAGCGAGAGAGAGAGAGAGAGAGAGAGAAAGAGAGAGAGGGATCGCTCACCGTACTGGGTCTTCGTGGAAAAGCTCCTGATGGTCAACGACGGCGACCTGCGCTGCACTACGGTCACGGTGCTCACCAGTTTCTCCGTCGGCTTCTCCGATTTCCTCGACTCTCCCTTCTCCCTGTCGGCGTCGTACGGGGCGTCCCGTCGCTCGTCGGCCTCGTAATCGTCGCGATGGCCAAGCCTCTCGGTCTCCTGCCCCTTCCTCGCGATCCTGGACGGGCTGTCCGAGAGACTAGGCGACTCCTGCGACGATTGGCTTTGGGACCGGCTGCTGTCACCACCTTCGGGCGTGTGTCTCGGCTCTTGTTCCGTCGACAGGCGAAATTTGTTCAAGCTCAGCTTGCGCACCAACGAGTGCGACTTCTTCTTCTTTTTCTTCAAGGTCGACGACGCAGCGCCGCCAGCCTTGCGCTCGTCCTCCTCCACCGGGCTCCGCTTGCGACCCGTTTCTGTCACGGGAGAGAGGATCTCCGGTCAGCGAGCAGATTTTCCGGGTTACAATGGGATTCCATGGGGGTTCAAGTCGGGTTGATGGTGGTTCGTTGATGGTGAGAGGTCGACGACTGATGTGGGTGGGTTGGATTGGTATGGGATGGTTCCTTAAGATTTGTAGATAGGGGATGGACGTGGTGAGTATAGTTGAGTAATTATAGTAGGTATAGTGGAGGCATAGTGGACTGAGATAGTACAAGTATTGTTGGTATAAGAAAGATAGCAGTTATAATGAATAGAGTGGATATAGGACTACCAAGTAGATAGCGATGGATTATTGAAATAAAATAATTTTAATTGCCGTGTTATATAATTTATTTCATTTCAATGAAGCAACGGAGATTTGAAGTGCTTGGAGATTTTCAAGAATCACCGATCGTTATGCAAATTGGCCCTAAGGGAACAAGATCAGAAATCCGTAATTAACTGGTTAGGTAGCTTTCGACGAAAGCCAAGATATTGTACAGCCATTAAGACGATTAACATCTCAGGCAATTCGTTTACAGATCCGAAGAAGTGTCCTATCGATCACTTTGCGTGTCAAGTACCATGGAGATTAAAACAAGTGCTTCTCACGAAACTATCTGCGTTGGATTGAACCTTTGCTGCTAAGCACGAGCCAATTTTTCTTTTTCCTTTTAGTAAAAGTAGAGTGAAATATGGAAACAATTTGCAGGAATATACAGACAGCGCAAATCATGAAACAAAACGAGAAAGTGTTCAAAGAATCACCTGACGAAGCCCTAAAACAACTCTACCAATCAGCAGTGATCCCAATACCAATTAGTTCACCCCTAAAGCAAATGTGGATCAGCGACAAATAAACCAAACTCATAAAACTACCCTCAGAAATATATTTGAAAAATCCTGGTCTATTATAGAACAGGAATAGAATTACTCATATAGGAAATGAGCAACTTCTGGAACAAGCACTGGAAGAAACATCAAGACCCACATTGATCCCACACCAATCGGTCTAACCTAAAAGTAACTGAATCTTAAGAGACAGAGATCCCTGTTCCTACAGGATGTTAATAATTTTCAGGATCATATCTGATCACACCAATTTGGAAGCGAGGTTTGCTATAGAACTGAACACAAGTTAGCCAAGTAAACTACAGAAGCACACATCCTGAGAGAACCTACCCCTGAAAGCAGCGAAAACCCAGAACAAAGAGAATAAAACAAAATGAACCGTGAGTGACCACAGGAATCCTTCTTGAACCCAACACCATATGCCAAGAATGAACCTTTTTCCTCGACATCCGGCTCAGGCTCGGCAGCCGGCTCGCCCGGCTGTCTGTCCTTCCTCCGAATTTTGAACAGTCCTCCCTCTTTGCGAAAGCTGCTCTTCAATGCGCCGAATCTGCCCCTCTTCTTGTCCTCGACGGCCGATGGATCGGTCGCCGCGACGCCCGTCGTCCCAGCGGCGTTGGTCACCGTGTCCAAGCTAGAACTGCTGTCGCCCACGGTCACGTACTCGCCGGAAGTGCTACACGCGAACCTGTTCCGCTCCTCTTCGGACGAGGAGCGCGCGATCACCGTGTCCGGCGAGCTTCCGCCCTCGTTTGCGCTCTCGTTCCGATCCATCCTCGGCAGAAGGGGGTTAGACAGAGCCGGTAGGAGTGGTACGAGTCGATTTCCCGACGTTTAACGATCCACAGCGACGATCCACGGATATTTTCTGTCTCACTCTGACAGACACGAGCCAGTCCACGGGCTGGCTTCCTACAGCCGACGCGGAAACCTTAGAACAGTCGTCTTTCTAGGTCCGATCAGGCCGACCACGGATAATCCGACACGTTTCCCCCTCCGTTTCCTCCTCTTTTTCCCTGCTACTTTGTTCCTACGATTGACAGAGCCAACTATGGGTAGCAACCAGGGAACGCCTTCAGCGTTCGACAGACCGATTCGAATGGAGATCTGTTGGTCACTCGGTGAAACGGAGAAGCCTGAGAGCTGGACGGGGTACGATTCGCGGTTGATTTCCTGACTATGGTGCCACCTCAGGCTCTTTCATGGATTATGGGGCAGTCTAAGAGGGGCTGCTGGCTCTGGCTGGACGCTTCGTGGCACTTGCAGGACGTTGGGTTTTGGTGGGAGATTGGGCATGACATTAGATGAGCGTTTCTTGGTATACCTATGTGCATTCGTAGGCTTTTCTGGGGGAATTATTGAATTCTCAGGATTCTTGTTAATTTTCATGAGCAAGATTGAAATTGGGGTACACGAATGATTGGAGGATACCAGCAGATTATTCTTATCCTGAAACAATGTTCAGAGGTATATTTTGATACATGGGATAGATAAAATTGAATAGACTTTTCTAAATTTTATTGAAGAGAATCGTCGTGTTATTACTCCAAATTATTGTCAGGTTTCTAGACTTTTAATCACATTTCAATGAAGTCAGATTGAGAATCTTCTGATGTAATATCTTTCAAATTTTGCCATCGAAGCTTCTATCTCCAGGCATGGGAAAGATACTTGAAAATATCTGTTCTTCCAAATGGAAGATTGATTGGTAGAATCTTGACCCCTTTCCCTATGTGAGAACTAAGGAACAAAGCACAAAAGATTTCATACAGAGGAATTAGAACTTCCCTGAACAGGTACTGGAATCATAAATTCAAGGATCTCCACTGAATCAGATCAAAGCTCTGTCAGTGCCTCTGAAAGAGAGAAAGAAAGTGAGAGTAAATTATCAACCGTTATTACGTCACGTTCTAATCCACTAAATCATCGAACCAGTCTTAACTCTATTAGATAAGCTTCGATTCTGCATACGCTCTACGTACAATTCCTTTCCTATATTCAAGTCTCAGTCGCAAGCGAAGGAAATTTCATTTCTGAAGGGGTTAACAGACCCACGACCCAGTCATCCAGCCAGGCCACGAAACGTCGACGGAACGCAACCTTCCTCGAATGTTCACCGGTGGAAGCCTTACAAGAATTCGATCGACCACCTAGATCATCCACCATCGTTCGCACGCACTGCCCCGTTTTACACGCGTGCGCAGAAGCGAGCACTACGCCGAGGGAACGAAACGGAGAAAGACGAGTTAAAGATCACCACTTGGAGAAATGAGAACGATACGACACGAGGAAAATCGAGAGACTCGATTCGCGACGTTACTAGCCGCATGCACGGAGTTGCACTAAAAAGCTCGCGTAAAAATGTCCCAAAGGAGGGCACAAGAGGAGGAGCATAATGGTACCCCTCCACTTGGCCGCGAGAACGCGTTTGTTCGCGCGTTAACCAGCCTCGAGACGAGTTTTCCGCGCTTCTTGATCCCCTGGACGAGGTATACGGATCTACGGTGCCGTGACAACACGTAGGCGTAACACGAGTGCCGCAGACTCAAAACAGGCCTAGTGTGCCGTGAGCCGCAAGGCCTCGTCATGCAAGTATCGTCCCCCCGTGCCTACTGTTCGGCTCCACCTCGACGAGCAAGTAGCACGTTACGTAAGTAGTCGGCTTGTAGAGGTGGGTGTTTTGGAAGATGCCTTGATCACTGATAATGCAGGTAGGACGGAGCTTCTTGGATGCTGGTAGGGGTTGCTTGGGTACAGGTGTGTTAGAAGTTTTAGCTCTTTACACTTTGAAAATTAATTGATAATGAGGTGGTGCTGAAATAGATGTCGAGAGAGTTCTTTGAAAGACTTAATAAAAGAGGGATCAATTTCCCTATTTAAATATTTGGCTTGAGGTTTTGTTACCTTGAAGTTTGTATCTTCACTGTAATTAATTTACAGTTTGTTTAAAGGTAAAGCTGTTAATATTTCTGGTGAAGGAATGTCTTTGCATATCTTTAAGAGAGATATTAGGGTTATTTGTTTTACTAGGTTTAGAATTTCCCTTGAGAGGGGACAGAGCTGAGTGCAAAGGGTTAACAAACGATTTGTTTGCTGTTAAAGTTCTAAGGTAAATACTGTGGGGTTCACCACGAGCCTGTTACAAGGAAATCTCATGTTCTTCTTACATTGTGGTCAGATCCTATAGGAACAGAACCCTGTTCGTTGGGCTACTAGGGTTACCCTATCTCTTTCTTTTTATCAAATAATATTTCTTCCTGTATTTAATAGTCTCACAAGTTTAATATTTTGTGAACACATTTGATATTTAGAAACTTCTGTTCTCAATGATTTTTACCTGCCAATTTCTAATTTGTTAACAAATAGATAATGAGGGAACTGATCATTAGTGGAATTGATATAAATAGATGAGAAATTTTACCTTGAATACATATTCATTAGAATTTTACTTTTCTTCTTTTGTTCAAGGTTCCTATATTAGAGTTAGTGAAGATTGTTTTGAAGAACTCTGAAGGCTTTCATCGCCAGTTGAGATAATAGGAAGAGTAAATATATATATCATATTGCATATAAGAGTGGTATTGTGCTGATCAAGCAGAATATCTTCTCTTGTATCTGTGATCTGGTGTCAAGCATTATAAACTTAACACCCGAGTACTAAAAATACAGTAATTGCTGTTTCTTTCAGAATTCTACTTTAATTATCTTAAATATTTTTTTTAAATCTCGTAAATTTTTTTTTTCAACTTCAGACGATGACCAATAGTTTCATACGTGGAACAATAGTTCTTTTTGTTTAATGCAGAAATACCGAGACGATAATAGTCATCTTATGCAGAGCAGCATCTTGCAGCCACTTTTCATGCACTAGTTACGTGTCGCCGAATGTGTAGTCCACTGGTAATTCCCTAATTAATTAATAGCGCTCGGGGACGATCTGGTGATAAAGTTCACAGTTCAATTACTGACAAAATAAACGTCTTAATGGATAAAGATTAGAGTCGATTTTTCTTCGCGTAATCTTAATTGACAAACACACTCCAGCTTCCTATCGATTAACCATAGACGTCGCTTATTTTCCTAGGTGATTTATGATCCCATCATATGCTACCAGGTACAGAATAATATTTTTCCATCACCTCCTCTTTTCTTCTGTTTAAAAAATATTTATTAATAAAAATAACTTATTCCGGTTAAATTAAAAATGTAGAAATCTCGATTTATGTTTTAAGTTTCAAATTCTACAAGTGACATATAACCTCTAATTCTTAATACCTCAAAACATCCGGTTATCCAGCACAAAATGTCATTTAACCTATAAACAGATCGCTTACAATTAATTTCACGTGTCAATGGTAGATTAAATCTGACGTAGGCAGAGAACTCGACACTTCGATACCCAACATCTGAAGAATAGTTTACGTACGCGATGATCACGAGATCACAGATAACGGATCCTCCGTGAATCTGAGGAATTTGCGGGTTGCATAAGTTTCCAAGCGTGCCACATACCGTTGCATACCCTCTCACCACTCTTATGTAAACTATCCTTAAACACAACCAATGTAATACGATGATATACACGCTATTAGTGGAATAAATCGTAAGTTTCTAGCGATAATCGCTGAAAGTCGCGGTCGTTTGTCGACATTTTCGTGATAATTACATGTGACATGTAATAAAACACTTAACCTATTAATTAGAAACAAGAGAGAGTCGCCATCTGAATTGGTCGTATTTTGGGTACTATGGTTCATTTACCCAGAGATCTCTCATCCTTTTATGCACTGTTATACCAGCAGCTATGATGTAATAAGATCATAATATCGATTAGGAATATCGAACGTTTTACCTTAAGACGGTAACAACCAAATTTTCAGTTAAGAAGTGTACCCCGGTTCCTAGTGGAAAACGTAGAATGCTGCAAGCAACACTAGGTGTCACTGTATTAATGGTCGCTGCTGCTTAGTGCTTCGATGCTCACACAATGCAACAGTTATGTACTATGCGAATTGTTGAACAGATACAAAATCGAAAAATGGTTTTATTCCAAAATTTATTAATAGGACACAATTTAGTGCCTGGTTATTATCAAGTGCTTTAGTTAACGAATTATAGTGGACTGTAAGTAATCACTGAGAGGTTAGAAAATATGAACTTGTGAATCGACAAATCGACAACTAAATTATGAAGAGCTATTAAAAGATACAAAAAGAATGTGGATTTATTGAAAGCTAGAAGTTTAAGTATGGATTGCATTCTAAAGTATAAAATGTATAAGCATGGTTATTAATAAATTTTATTTCCAGTAAAACCTCAGACAATGCAAGTTTCAAGAGTTCAGCTATTTTATTCATGACGACTCGATATATGCATGAATTAAATACAGTAAAAAATCAAATAGATTTAAATATTTATTCTGTCATCTATGTCTCCGAAATTATATAATGATTTCGTAAAAACAGCATTACAAAAAAGGATACGAGATTCAGTCAAGGCAGTCTTGCAATCCTGTTATCCTGCTTTCTCGATTCAAGTTGCAAACGTAATTAACCTTATCGTACAGTGATATATATAGTCTATGTAAGTACAATTCTCTTGATTTGAACAGAGACCAATGACGATCGTGCATCATGTAGCTTTTAAGGACGACCTCGACACCTATAATTCCATCATATACCGTCGTTCATGTGGGGTGCTTTATGTAAGATACTGGTTTATCCATGATCGTGATAAATTTGAACGACCTCCATAGTTCTAGCGCCATATATGTATATCCTGTAAGCTTCTTCTTTCAAAGCAAATTCCTCACATTTCCTGGGACTCGATTTATAAATAAAAAAAGGTATTGGAATTTTAATAATAATTTATATTTATTTTCTACATCTCTATTTACATAGTTACAAATGTCATTAAGATGGCAAGCTATTAATAATATACGGACCTAATAAATTATATACTATTTTACAATAATCAGCACAAAAGATGGCTATACACTTTTAATATTATACTAAATTTAATAC